GGGGGGGGGGGGGGGGGGGGGGGGGGGGGGGGGGGGGTTGCTGCATCAGGGTTCTTGGCTGTAAGGGTAACGAAAAATGCGACCCCCAGTCCTGAAGGAGAAAGGAAGGGGTTTGCTTTGGGAGTTTTTCTGGGCTCTGTCCAGCCCATAATGGGGGAGCTTCCCCTCTAGAGCACAGGCAAGAGAGCAGAGCCCGCTCCTTTGCCTCTGTGTCCAAGTACTTTGCCTTCTGGCCAGCCATCCTCGAGCTCCCTGCCGTCTCAGGGACAGGAGCATAGAGAGAATGGCCTTTCCTTGTTTTGTCACCTCCCCAGCCCGACTGTTATCTACAAGCAGGTGAAATCAGGACCTGATACATTTCCTGGCTCATTCAGAGGGCTGGACTTGAACCCACAGCCTCTGCTCCCTCTGGGGAGAGGGGCTTAGGGGAGGGCCCAGTGACCTGAGGCCCACATCTTCCAGCCTCTGCCTAGCCCCCTGATCCTGTGGTGTGGAAGCGGTTCTTTCCCAGGAGCACCTCTTTATGGAGAAACAGGCTGGATGTCCACGGTGATTCTCCGTCACCCAAGGCCATGGTCCTCCCAAAGGTGCTTTTCTCCAAGGGCAACTGGACTTTCTGGTTTTTCTTTTCAGAACTTAGCTCTAGAGTAACGAAGAACGGTGGGTAAATCCCTCAGCCACCCCGAATGGTAGAAAACGTGACTGGGCAGAACAAATGTGAGGGAAGTTGCAAGGCCGGTTCCTGCTATGCTACCAGCGAGGCCCAGGCTCAGGGGTGCCACTTGGGAGCCCCAAGAGAGTCCCTGCCTGCACGATTAGTTGAGGCTGCTCTGGCAAGATGGCAAAGGAGGAGCAGGGGGCCTCTCGAGTCCACGGGTGCCCGGTTGGCAAAGGAGCCAGCCGGGCTTCCCTCTTGGAACATGCTGAGCACCTCTTAGTCTCCATCAGTCTCAGTGCTCCCTAGTGGCTATGGGATGCTAACAGAACCTTTGAATGTGACCATTATGATGTGTTTATTTATATCCCGCCTTTATTGTCTTTATAAAGACAGACAGACAGGCCCAAAGTCAGCCAGCTGGCTTTCATGCCACCTTCTTCCAGAGGAGAAATGGGGAGGGGGAAGTATTATATGCCAGCCGTTGAAGTCTGCCTGCCCACGCCACACCCATGACAAACAGATAGAGCTTCATTGCCCCACCAGGGCTGCCATCTTGACTTTCCTGAGGGCTCCTTGCAGACGCCCTTCTTGCCTGCCTGCCTGCCTGCCTGCCTGGCCCCCTCCTCCCTGGGGGCTTCCCAGAAGGCAGTCCAGAGGACTGTCCCAGGGAGCCTTTGGGGAGAAGGGCCTTAACTGGTTTGGGGTTCCTTATTTCATACGATGTCTCTGCCAGATTCGGATGGCTTCGGCTTTTGACCGCCAGAGTGATCCAGGCACTCCAGATGGGTTGCCTGAGGAGGGGCAGCTGCTCTGCTGCCTCTGCCCTCCTGCCTGTTTCCCAGCTTGGTCTCTCGGGGCCTCCCAGGAGGGCTGTGCCAGGGACTGGGATACAGCTGTGGCCCTACTCACCTGGGCTTTCAATTCCTGCCCGACAGCAAGCGGCCCTCTCCGTAGCAACTGCTGCAAACGTTGCACCTTCTCCGACAGCCTGGAAGCTGCTCCTGAGCCAGGAGTGCAAAATCTGGGTCTTTCTGTGCACCCCAGGTTGAGGGCAGCTCGACTCTTGTGCAACCCTATTTTATGTGGGTGACTTTGGCGCTGGCGAAAGAGCTGCTGCTCTCTGCAGACTCACACCGGGAGCAAAGTGGCCGTTCCGTGTTTCAAGCCCCACCTTCAAGAATCACTTCAGACCACAGAGTGGAGCGCAATTCCAGATTTTATGCTGGAAAGTCGCTTATTTCAGCATCGAAGGCAGAGGAGGAGCCTAAAACGAGTGGCTAAAGACTCAGGCTAGGCCGCTTACCATGAGCATGGAAAAAGGGGAGCAAAGGGTGCGTTGCTTTATGACAATATTTTTTTTAACCTGGCTACTTGGTGTAAATGAGTCCCATATTATATTTATCCATTCAAGGCTGAAATACCTTTGTGGAATTTTCTATGTTTTTCAGTTAGACTTTACACAGAATGTGATTAGTATCTATTTCTGTTAGCACTAAACCTATCCTTGATTCTCTCCCCCATTAAATGACACTCTTTGAGGAGTTCCAGTGGCTGGGGAATTCTGGAAGTTGGTCCACAAGATTTAAAGTTGGCCTAAAGTTTGGGAAAAATAAAATCAGCCATGAAAAACTCCCAGAGTTGTCTAGGATGGTCCTTTCAGTTTCATGGAGGAATTTAATAGCACTTCTCCATATTTGGACAGGCTTCCTCCTGCAGACTTTCTCCCAAATCTAGGATGGCA